ACAGAGCAAAGTCCTTGCAAAATGACTCTTGCCTTTCATAGATAATTTTAGATTTTAATTCATTTTTTTCTCTCCAGTAGATAAAGGGCTAGTGCATTTAGCCTTAAATAACCTGAGGACGTCGAATTACAAGCCAATGTGTTGAAAAAGGGCACCACCTATGCATTGATGGAGATATAAAGACTTCAAAACAATTGCACGGAACGCTAGAAACAGACTGTATGTTAAGAGGCAGTATCTTGCCTGCTTCATCAGTTTTTCTATACTCTGAAAACAAGATGACATCACTATATCTAATCATATTTGTCATGTCCAATGTATTCTATTATAAGCTTAAAAACTGCATATTAAATATCACTGATCAGATAAAAATTTGAGCTTATTGGTAATGGTTGAGTTCACTACTCAAAAAGACATAAACAGTATTTTCAGGACTTCTAAAGATGTATCAGGGATGAGCATATGTAGGGGTGCGTAAGGACACAGCATTGTGTGGATGCATCTTTATGGAGGTTGTATTAAAGGGTAAAAATCTGGCAGCAATCACAAATTCTGGAGCATCATTCTCCATCTGGTAGGATTTTGAGAACTAGGAGAATTGACGCCCCGGTGGGCTTGTGGCAACTGCAAGAATGTCAATGACCATGGCTGTTATCCTTCCAGCACCCTCGTCCCAACCCTCTTCACACACATGCGCACGCGCACACACATACACACACACACACACACACACGTCTAACCCAGCTTTATCTACAGGCTTCAAGAGTGCGTTGATGATTGTTCTAATTTGACTCCATCTGTACAATGAATGTGGCTAACCAAAAAAGAAACCTCAGAAGATTCTTTCAAACTAAACCCATTAGACCCAGACAGGTCAAATGAAGTTATGGATCCAGGGATTCTGAGACTCTGGAAGACATCTGTGGCTCCTGCAAATCAGTGGCACAGATGAAAACACCAAAGTAAGAATGTCTGCCCAGTGTGGCACAGCTCTGAGCAGCAGCGCACTGCCAGAGCCCCAGGGAAGCAGGCCAGAAGCCCAAACGGAGAGTCCCCTGGGGAAAGGAAAGGAACACACTTCCCAGCTCGCCAGTTGCTAGGAAAGTACATCTCTATACAGACACAGACACCAGGATCTTCCTACTTACCAAGCGCTCTATGCTTAGGCATTCATCCATACCTGGGTGTAAATAAAGGTGAGTTTGGTCAAGTGCTGTGACACGTACTAGGAATTCATGTATCCAGAATAAACCACATGCTGCCTTTGCTGTTTGGTGTCAGTGCAGCACAAATAAAGAAACAAATTGCCACATTCATTAAAGCCTCGATGCTATGCTATGCTATGCTCCTAAAATTCATTATCTCGAAATCTCAAAACAACACATCAGGGAAAAATTATCTTCCCTTGTTTTTATGTTGAAGAAACTGTGCAGGAAGTTAAGAAACTCCTCATGGCACAGCCTCAAATGGCAGGGCAGGATTTGAACAAGGGTCTATCTGTGCCTCACCTAAGCTTACTAACCTATTTCACATGTACCCTTTTTCTTCAGGTGTTGACAACAGCAACTGCATTTCACAGGCTTTGTTCCCAACTCTAGAGGGACATCCTCAGCTCCTGGTAATGCCCATCTCGCCCTGGTGTTATTTCTCAAGGTCCCCAGAGAGTGTCTTGGAAATACTACAGAATATACTGTCACATATCTCATGACATCCGTCCTTTTTCTCCTCCCACCCCATAACCTGCCCCAGTGCCACCTTTTCCAGGCACCCCCATGAGGATGACCCACGTGCTGGCTTCCCATAGGGGCTATGGGAGAGCCAGGCACCTCCAGGTCCAGCCCTCTGTGCAACCAAGCTGACCAGCAGGCTCAAGTGAGAAGGAGTCCTCCTTTATCCCATCAGCCTCACACTTTGCAATCAGGGCACCCAAGCAGAGCTCCTTCTGTCCACCACGGTGGTAATGAAATCAGTTTTCTGTTTGAGGACAATCCAAGTGACAAACACCACATTATATCCTGAATATCTCTTCCCTCAGGCTATGTTAACTAAGCCTTTGTCACTGATTAACTTCCTCTTCTCACAGGTTGTGTTTCTTTGGGAAGCTGAGGCCCCATGCATGTGCCAGATGTGCTAAGTACAGCCCAGTGGAAGACAGATGTCCAGGAGACCCAGGCTGGGCTCCCTCACTACACACACACACACACACACACACACACACACACCCTTCTCAAAGTGAATATCTCTTCTGTCCAAACCAACAACTGTTTATCTTTGCCAGAACAGAAGCTGTAGCTTGTGTGTGACCCATACTTAAGCCATGCAAGCAGTTTTTACCTTGAGACTGAGCATGCAAATAGTCACGACCTTTCCAGGAATGGCTGCATATCCTAAGCTTTGCCTGAAAGTTCCAGCCACAGGAAATGCAGAGAAAGCCAGGGAGGATGGACGATGCAGTGCTCAAGCCACGCTGAGGATCCTAATGCAATCTCCCCTTTAAAAAGAGGGACGATGATGGACAGCGATAAGGGAAGATGGAGAGAGGAAGGGAGGATGGCCTCCCTCCACCGTGAGCCCATGGCCCCAAGGGAACCAATACACTTCCTCATTCCCCTGAGGTCAAGTAGCCAGAGGATGCCAGAGCTATGGGGTCTGCAGAGAGCAGGAAGCCTCAGCACAGGGTGGAGCAGTACTGCCGTGGGAGAGAGATTCACAGCACAGCAAGACAAGGCACAGGGTGGCTGCCTGGCAGCCTGAGCCCCTCTGACTTCCCAGAGCCCAGGCCTTCCCTGGAGGCTTGGTGTTCCTTCTCCTGCCAGCCTGGATCACCTTTCCCTTCAATGTATTTCACTGTTTACATAAATGTATAAATGTATTCCTTCATTCAATGTTCCACACATATGTGTTGAATATCTAGTCCTGTGCCAGGCATTCTTCTGGGCACTTGGGCAGGGCATGAAATAAACCAAGCAAACATCTCTACCTCCTTGAGCCTCTGTTTTCCTGGAGCAAGACGGGCAACAAGAATAGTAAGTGAGCGAGCTATTGCTAAGGTAGAAAGCGGGAAGCGTTCCGGAGGAAAGTAACACAGGAAGGAGCGTAGGGAGTGTGGGGACCTGGGGAAGCAGCTTATCCAAGAGTCCGAGGAAAGGCCTCCCTGGGAAAGGGGCCGGGAGTAAAGATCTGAAAGGTCCAGCAGTGGGAGCATGCGTAGGATAGTCAAGGGCCGGCAAGAGGGCAGGGGTAGCCAGAGAGGAGACAGAAGAGGCCAGAGAGGTAGGAGACTGTCAGGGCCCTCAGGGCCATGAGGTATTGAAAGGGTTTTGGGTGTGGTCTTGGCAAGGGGGTCATCACAAGTTCTGAGCAGGGAAAAGCCATGATCTGACTTATTTTTTGTCACCATGGCAACTGCGTGGAGCGTGGATGAAAAGGCAGCACCACAGAAGCAGGGCCATCGTTTCCTGCAGTGATCAAGTAAGAGATGAGGATGGCTTGGCCTGGCTGTAATCACAAGGATACTGACAACTGCTCAGGTGCTGGGAATATCTTAAAGGTAGAGACAGCGAGATTAGCCAGCAGGTTGGATGAAAAATATGAGCTGTAAACTGGAGGTAAAGTTGACTACAGGTGTATTAACCTAAGTATCTCCAAGGAGGGAATGGCCACTTCCTGGTGTGGGGGAAATCATGAGAGATTAGGGGAGATGATCAGGTGTTCAGCTGCAAGCACATTCTGCTTGAGATGACTCATACCAGTGAAATGACAAGGCAATGGATAGATGAATCTGAATCCGAAGGCCAGGAGTGAGATCTATACTAGACACATGGATTTGGGAAGTACCGGTGCATAGATGGTATCTAATTCCATGAGACTTAATGAGAACATCTTGGGACTCAGTGTAGAGAGCAAGAGAAGAGGTCCAAGGATTGGGCCCTAGAGTCCCAGCATCAAAAGATCAGGGAGATGAGGAGAAACTAGTAAGGAAGACTAAGAAATCTGGGAGAATCTTAGAGAAGGAAGTGAGCAGAGAATGAGCCCAAGTGCATAAATTATTTCAAAGAACAGGGAAGTGATCAATTGCTCGAGGCTGCTGGGAGGTCAAGTGGGATGAAGGCTGAGAACTGACCTTCTGATATAGCAGCACACCCATGTCGGGAGGCTGGACAAGAGTAGCTTTAGGGGAGGGGGAGGTGGAGGAAAGCCTGATTAGAACAACCTGCCAGGGCTGAGAGGCTTGTATTATGTCTTCTTCCTGGGCACAAAGAAGGTTCATGTTTACTTCATGCAGTCAGTTTCATATGTCAGGAACACACCCAGAGTTTATTCCTGCAAGAGGAATATAGTTCTTCTATGACCTCTTTGCTTTCTCAGCACAATCCTCAACTCTCTCTCTCCACCCACTCCTTCCCTCCCTCCTTCCATCTCTCCCTGGCTCCATCTTCCTCTCCTCTTAGTGAAAGATACAGTCAGGTTATCAGGCTTGAATGAGAAGGCTACACTCTTCATTGGATCTGTGCTCCGAGTCACTCTGTTCAACTGAGAAGTGTTCTGTGAAGTTTTCACTCAAAGCCCTATTAAATTTTCTGTCTTATTTAGAGACTGAAGCAGAGGCTTTGCCAAGCCTGTAAGACCCCACATGTCTAGACTCTATTTGCTTTTTACTTGTTGAAAAATTGTCCAGTTAATACTGAGCACATCTTTTATATGTAATCCTTTGCACATGCAGACAATAAGGGCTGCCACACACCACAGTCCACACATTCTGCCTTCTACTTTACCTTTGAACTACAATCTTAGTAAACAGGGACATCTACCAAATATGTTGCTGGTATATAATATGATTCTCTAGCTCTCCAGAGTGCTGTGTCTATTCTTTTCTCACCTGTCAAACTCCCCAGTGTCATGTATTTTAGTTTTTTTACGGCAAATCTGATAGCCGTTTCTGTATTAGTGAAGACAAATAATGCTAGCAGGTGCAACAAAATACTTCCAAATCTCAACGATTTAGTCTCATCGAAGTTTATCCATCCCATTTCCTTCTCCGGGGCACACTGGAATACAACATTTTTCAGGCTCCTTTGTAGTTATGTTGGAGCCCTGTGACCTGGATTTCAGACCTAAGAATGAAAGCAGAAATGCCATATGCCAACTCCAGGCAAGCCTGACCACATAGACCCCTGAGCATCCTGCTGACGTTCTGCACCTGGATGGACACTGCAAAGGTGTCTGCGAGTAGAGGATGGAGGTGTCAGACCAGAGAAAAATGATGGTCTGGGTCGTCCCCTGGAGGAGAAACAACAAGAAGAGCCAGTCAGCTCATAGTAGATGACGGCGAAGAGGAAAGTAAATGACTATTGTTTATACCACTCAAATAGTTCTTGCAGAAACTATCCTGCAAGTGCATAGATATGTATGTTCAAAATATATACACGGGGAAAATGGAGGCAGTGAGTGAGGATAATTGTTTTTCAGAGGATATTCGGTATAAATGAAGGAGATAAATTGGACAATAAAAGGAGAAGAAAAGAGAGAGGGGGTGTGTGTGTGTGTGTGTGTGTGTGTGTGTGACAAAAAGATGTATGTTTGCATCTCCATGGGAAAGAAGGAAAGAGTGGGTACAGAAGGAAAAGTCATGGTCAGAGAGCAACCAATGGCAGGAGCAATGTCCTTTGGTCGGAAGAGGACATGTCAGGGACAGCACTTGCTGGGAGCACAGACAATTCATCTACACAGCAGGAGAGGAAGCAGCGCCTATGGACACAGGTTCAGCTGTTGAGTGGAAGAGTTGGTGGCAACCTGCAGCGGTTTCTCTCTGAAAACTTCAATTTTCTCAGCAAGATCACCAGTCAAAATTGCAGATGGGAGAGGAGGTGTCAGAGATTTGAGGAAAGAGATGAAGGTGTATAAAGAGTTGCATAGAAGCATGGGACAGAGGATGCACTAGGAGATTATCAAATGTCAGCTGCATTGCTATAAGGGTCCCTTTGAAATTAATGATCATGGATTAGCAGCAAGAGCAGAATGTTTTTCTCTAGCAGAGTCCAGATTCTAGCTGGATAAAACGGCAGGCTATAAAATTTCAGTTGGGTAAATAGAGCAGTGATGACATATGGGAGAGGGACAGTGGGAAAAAATAATATAATTAATAGATTACAGGATGCTATGAGGTTAAATGATTGTTGGAGTCAAGGGTACTAAGAAAAGTAATTGAAAAAGGACAGAGAGAAGGATGCTTAAAATGGGAGATCATGGAGAAGTTGCCATTCTTACTGACAGTGATGGAATTATACATATGATTGTGGGAGTGAGTACTTAGTGGATGAGAAAAAGAAAAGGAGGCCAAGCGATAAAGGGTACCCAGGGATAAAAGGGTCTTCTAAATGGATACTGAGACCACTCACCCTGGCAATGTTCCACCTATTAATAGTGAGTCAGGAGCTATAAACGTCAAACAGTGCAGGGAGTGACCTAGGAATTGGCAAATGACTTCAAGAAGGAGGGGTGGGGGGTAGAATGGAACTGGGGGGACCGTTAAATTTTGGAAGGAAAGAAAAAATCATGGAGAGTCTCCCAGGAGAAGCAAGGACAGCCCCCTCCCCACATGTAAGCCCATATTGGGAGAGAGGCAGTGTCCTTCTGGGAGAGCGAAGTTTCAGGGAATCAAAGGTAAAGGGAACCATCAGGAAAGAGCCATGCTAGAGGTTTTTGTATTGATGGCCAACCATAGGAAGGAAAAGAGTTACAGGAATTGGAAAAAATTTGAAGAAAAGCAGAAAGTTGTATTATAGATATTTGTGGGAGTCAGAGTCTGGGGCTGAGAGCTGACCTGAGCCACTTGTGGTGACTGAGCCAAGCAAGGCAAAGGGAGTGTTGGAAGTGCTGAGGGGTAGCAGATGCTGCGGAAACAAAGGGTCAAAGCTTTGTCAGGAGTGATCAGAGTTCCAGGCTCCCACCAGCATTCTGCCACAAACCCCAAAGCAGACAGAAAATCCTCTTATTGAAGTATGCTGACCTCTCATTTAATGCCTTAAATGAATGACTGGATCAATCAATCCATCAATCATCAAGAGTCCAAGCCTTTCATTCTAATAAAGAGGACACCCAGGCTCTGAAGGTGTGGAGTTCCTTGTTCCAGGACACAGAGTAGGAGAAGACATAGCCCTTGGGTTGAATGGTAACCCACATGAACCAGCTCTGTGACCTTAAGCAATTTCCTCAATTTCCAGGAGTCTCTGTTTTCTCATGTGTAACTTTAAAATTTTTTAAATGTAGATATTAAAAGCACCTGCTTCATTAGTTATTGAAGAAAATAAGTTGATGAATTCTTAAAACTGTGCCTGGCATTTAGTAAACACTCTCCTTGTGTGATTATGATCTGTGAGTCCTGCGCAATGTCTTCATACCTAAAGATTTTAGCCCACCTGTCCCCATATGTTACAGCATTCTGAGCTCAACCTTTCCTAGTAGATCCACTTTAAATGGCCTAAGTCCTCATACCAGATATACCGGAGAACACAGTCTCTTCCAGATGTCCCAGGGCTTCTTTCTCCTCCCCACCCTGGCTCCACATTCCCACTTCCTATGAATCCCAGGAATTGCTGGTTACTCACTTCCTAAGAGGTACTGCTGGCCTTCTTCCATCACACCCCTTTGGTGTGCAACTCAAACTCTCTTTCATTCATCAGAGCAACCCTGATATCAGGCTTTCCTGGAAACCAGACACTTACTGAATATGGAAAGCAAACCATGGCACCATGTGCATGGCACACACACGATTCATTAACCTATTTTCTTCATTAACCCTGATTTTCTTCTGCCATCTTTGCCGAGAATTGCACAGTTTCCAGCTTCCTTTCATTACCAAGACTTCGTTTTCTCTTCTTCTATTTCACTATTTCCTTTGCACTACTCTGCATTCTCTGCACATGTACATACACACACACACACACACCCCTGCACACACATGTAATTTCCACCTTCTCTATGCAATGCATCAGGAAGTCTCCAAACCTCTGCAAATTCCTGTTACTTAATTATGCAGATAAATTTCCACTGTCAACTCCAACGCTATTCCAGATCTAGTCGTAACTTTGTGGTCTAGTCTTCTGAATAGGAAGGTTTGGCTGACTCTTTAAATTACTTTTTTTTTTTGCTTTTTAGCACATTCCAGATGAAGTCCCTAAACAGGACTCCCCTCCCAGCAAGGATTTATCCATTTGTTAGATGCTTTATAAAGCACTATCCAGCATACACACCTTTGAAGTGAGTAAGAAATTGTGTCAAAGGCCAGAGGGACAGGACCCCTGATGGAAGTAAAACATAGTCACACAAGTGCCAAGACACCAACGTTCATCCTTGAGGGTTCCATGCTAGATTAGAGAAAAAGCTGTTGGAAGGAAAGAGGCCCAGAAAACATGACACATAGAAGTTTTAATAAAGGTCAGCACCCATGCCTGAGGTAGGTTTACTCCACCATGAAGGGACATGGGCAGACTGAAGCCACACAGGCCTTCCTGTGACCTGCAAGACATGAACAGGAAATGCACAGTTGTAGAAAGAAATACAGCCACTTTGCTCACCGCATACCTAGTTCTAGAAGTTCATATTTTACTCCGCCTAAGAGAAAGAAGAAAATGAGAAAGAATAACATGAAAAATGTGTGTTTTTCTCTAAGGAAGAGAAAAGGAGGAAAATGAGGCTATCATTGTAAGTGAGATCTTCTGTCCCCCTGCTCTGTCTCTTTAAGGGTGAATTTCAGACTCCATGCCTCACTTCAGGTGACAGCACAGGAAATATTGGTGAGCTTGTCTCCTTTTCAAGTCTTAAAAAGAGAAAACACCCAATTCTGATTGTGAAAAGTCAAGCAGAATTTGATTTATTCTTCGCCATGAATGATTCCACTTAAAGCAGGAAATAAACTCTGATATCAAAAATGTAAATCAAACCTCAGTGCATGAAGACAGTCTTCATTTGTCTCTTTTATCAAACTACCACTCCTTTTATTGGAAATATACAGTTGGCTACATCCACCTGCTTTCAAACACAATCTCCATCTTCATTCAGGCTACTACTAAATTATAGTGCTATAACAAAGTACTGTGAACTGGGTGGCTTCTAAACCACAGAAAGTCATTTCTCATGGTTCAAAGGCTGTAAGCCCCAAATCAGGTATCAGCATGGTCAGGTTCAGGTAAGGCTCTTTTCCCAGGTTGTAGACTTCCAACTTCTTGCTGTGTCCCCACATGATGAAAAGAGAAGTACTAGCTCTCTGGCCTTTTCCTATAAGGGCACTAATCCCATTCGTTTGGGCTCCACCCTCATGACCTAATCACTTCCCAGAGGCTCCATCTCCAATTACTATCACAATAAAGATTCAATTTGAAAATATGAATTTCAGAGGGCAGCAGTGCATAACAGCCTCTGTTTTTGACATGAGATCACGGAGCCATGGCAAAGAGTCCCCCAGCCATCATACTCCCTGCACACACTGGAAATGCAGAGTTATACAGTAACTCTCTCTCTTGCTTGGAGTAAGTCACCATTCTAAAGTAAACTATATCTTTTCACTCTGCCTATAAGTGACCAAAAGTAAGGGGGGAAAGAACAAGAAAAGAAAAGCTCTTACATGACTACCCTGAGTTTTGTGACCCAGGCAAGTCTTCAAAGACATGACTTTTTGCTGAATGTTCTAAAAATGGATGTTATGCATCTGATTTTAAAAAAATGGTAATTAACAAGTATGCTTTGAATCACAGAATAGTAAATGTCATTTTCTTGTAATATAGAGTATTAGTCATGAGCACTAATGCCCAGAGAAAGAGTTAAGCTGCTGGCCATAAAGGGAGAGCCAGCTGCGCAGCTGTACGTGGGACTGACCAGAGCAAGCAGCCGAGACAGAACAAACATTGTGAGAGAGCGGCTGATGAGAGAGCTGCTGAATAAAGCCGTATTTCACCTACCTACAGCCCCCCAAGTCTTATTTCAGCTATCGGCCATTCAGTCCCCCACTCCCTTTGAACCTCAGCCCAGGCTGGAACCTGACCCTGAATCTAACACCAAGCCTTATCTTTATTTCGTGAAACACCCTCTGAAACAGAATCTTTGTCTCAAGTCACACAGCAATAAAGTTAGTTCTTTTCTGCCCTCAAAGAAGGCAGTGCCTCTTCCACATCTGTACACTCATTTAGCAAACACCTACGATGATTTAGATACCAAAGCTGGAAAAGTGAATGTGTTTTTAGGTGCTCTCAGCCTCCTCACTGGTGACAGAATATGCTTGGCTT